TTCCCGATGATGAGTGCTGCAAGCACTGGACATGCGCACCGCTGGCACCTAAGCTCGGCGGCGCCGGCCACCAGCAGGAGGAGGAGGAGGAGGAGGCGACACAGCAAGAGCAACAAAACCAATCCTCATCTCCGACTGGTAAATATGGCTAGTGAATGCATAAAAGAGTTCTTCTCTCAGTGTATTGCATGCAAAACTCTAACTGAACCATCCAATCTTCATGGCGCCCGCCCGTCGGTTATTGGGCTTGTTGTTGCTCCGTTTACACTTGACTTGAGTTTAGTTTATTTATTATTATGATTTATGTCGAAATTTAAGTTGAGCTGTAAACGGAGCAATTATGTTAATTGAAAGCAATTGGAAAATAATTTGAAAACTCGTTATCAAACATTCAAAAGCATATTCATTTATATCGCTCATCTTTCTCGCATGTTTTCAAAGCATTTTTGGCTTTTCTATATGATTCCATACCACATACTAAGTTTGTGTATATTTTTGCGCTTCTGCTACTTATCTTGCGTTCTTTTTCTCTCTTTTTCTGTTTATTATTTATTTACGTTTTTAATGACCCCGAATTTGTGCTGTATTATATATTTTTGATTTTCTATGCTCATACGAAACAACAACAAACTTAACGCTATGCATTTGTAAATAATCAAAATACCATTCAACATGCAACCAATATCAGAAACAACAACAACATCGACAACAACATCGACAGCGACAACTACAACGACAACAGCAACCACTTCGACGGCGGCTAACAAAGGGTTCCATGAGAAACCAACGGATGTGGACTATGAAAAGAAATCGCAGCTAAATGCCTTTTATCCCACGCTGGATGGCAAGCCGCCCAAATCGGGCGCGAGTGTCTTTGACAAACACGATAAGCTCCACAAGAAGGCCCAACAGCAACAGCAGCAGCAACAGCAACAGAATGATATCAAGTACGATGTGCACGAGGATCAGCAGGAGGACGAGATCAACAATGGGCCACCATTGCCGCCGGGCGGCGGTTTCGTGCCACTGCAGCTGGGCGGCCACTACAACGATTATCAACAGCAGCAACAACATCAGCAACAGCTCGGCCCCTTTGGCTTCTACAATCCAGGCAAGCCCGGCTATGATGCATACAATCCCTATGAGCCGTACGGCATTAATCCGAACGGCATACCGCAGGGCAAGCCTCCGCCGGTGCCCACTAGTCAGTCGGATCTATTTAATATTCTGGGTGCTGAGCAGCCCGGTCATCCGGCACAGACACTACCCCAGAAGGACAATCACAATCTGCCCTCGCATGTGAGAATCGAGCAGATTTTGCAGCACTTGCAGCAGAGCGTACCTGGCGGAGCAGCACCTGGGCCACAACAACAACAGCAACAACAACAACAACAGCAACAAGAACGACCGCTGCCGCCGCATTATGTGCCCATTGTGCACAGTGGAGTGCCGCCGCCACCTCCTCCACATGGCATTGCCATAGTCGATGGCCAGCCCGTGGCCTACGAGAGCTATCCGCTGATACCCGGCCTGGGTGTGCCACCCACATTGCATCATCCTCAGCAGCAGCAGCAGCAGCAGCAGCAACAACAGCAAAAGCAGCAACAGCAGCAACACGAATCCTTGCAGCAGTTGCCTAGCATTACGCCCAGCTCGAGCACCAGCTCTGGCCTATCCACACAGGCCAGCGAGCACAGCCTGCATCAGACTCAGAGCCAGGGCCCGGACAAGCGACCCATCCAGCAAGCAGGTTGAGATCCCACTATTCTAGTCAAATCCCTCATAGCTTATTCTAGTCTCTCTCAATCTCTCTCTTCATGCCGTATGGACACTGCTATACTGATATACACAATGACAGGGTTAAACTGTACTAACTGTGACTTCTCCGAGTTCAACATTCAATCCACACACGCACACTACCACACACACACACACACACACACACACACACACACTCACATCTACATTACCAGTCATCCGCATCATTGTTGCGCTTCTTAGAAAACGCTTAACCTAAACTAATCCAAACTTATCATAATTAGAAATAAGCGTAAATCAGCCAAACCTATTCCAAATACCTATTCCAAATCTGTGTAGAACTATACAGATTTGTTTTGTAGTTCGATCTGGGAATAGACATCATGATGCAATATTCAATACTTGGACTCTTTTTGCAGGCTTCAACAATCTGCAGCCTGATATCGAAGTGCATACGCTGGAGCCCATTGATCCGCGTACCATTCGCATAGTGTTCACTGTACCCCAGGTCTATGTGAATCTTCACGGACGCGTGGAGCTGCGTTATACGAATGGCCCGAGCAACGATACGTCCAGCTGGGAGCAGCAGATATTTGCACCGCCCGAGGATCTGATTGCCACCTCACAAATGGAATTCGATTTGCCTGGCCTGGAGCCCAATTCGTTGTACAAGGTGAAAATAACGCTGATCCTGCGCGATCTCAACTCGCAGCCAACGAGCAGAGTCTTTACGGTTAAGATGCCAGCGGAGAGAACAATAACGCCACCGCCGCAGATTTCCGACTATAGGCCGGACTTCCAGGATATATTCAAGACCGTAGAGGATCCCGAGCTGAATGTCAGCGAAACGAATGCCACCTGGCTGCAGCTGACCTGGAAGAAGCTGGGCGACGATCAAATGGAGTACGTTGATGGGGTACAGCTGCGCTACAAGGAGCTCACGGGCATGATATACTCCTCCTCGCCGCTGATACACCGCACCCTCACCAGCTACACCATACAGAATCTGCAGCCCGATACGGGCTATGAAATCGGACTCTATTACATTCCGTTCGCGGGCCACGGAGCCGAGCTGCTGGCCGGACACATGATCAAGGTGCGCACCGCACCCAAAACGGATGTCTACGGATTCGATGTGATGGTCAATGTCACCAAGGTAAAGACACAGAGTGTGGAAATATCCTGGAATGGCGTGCCGTATCCCGAGGACAAATTTGTGCACATCTATCGCGCCATCTATCAGAGCGATGCCGGCAAGGAGGACTCCAGCGTGTTCAAGGTGGCCAAGCGGGACAGCACAACTGGCACCCTGATCATGGACCTCAAGCCAGGCACCAAGTATCGCCTCTGGCTGGAAATGTACCTGACCAATGGTAACACCAAGAAGAGCAATGTGGTCAACTTTATAACCAAGCCAGGTGGTCCAGCGACGCCGGGCAAAACTGGTACGTCATATATATTAAATAGTTTTAAATGTCTTTAAGATGAGCTTTACCCATTTCAAGTCTTGCGTGTTTTTGAAAGGATTTATTTGAGCTTTAAGAATCTTGGTAATCCCTATCAATCAACATATGTATATATCTATACTCATATATATGATATTCAATATTCAAAACATTAGCTTGCTTTAAGGCCATCTCTTAGCCTTTTACAAGCATCATTGTTGCCCATATAGATAAAGATCATAAACGATCGAAATAGTCTTACAAGGGTATTTAATCTTCGGTATTCCGAAGCCGTTCTTTCTTATTTAATAATAACATATAAATATCATTGTCATAAATGTTAAGACTTACCTACCTACCTTTCTTTTATGGATAATTTGTCTTGAAAAATTCCCATTCTTATTTAATTTTGTGGATTTTTCAATTTCCTCAGGAAAACTGCTCACTGCGGGCGTCTCAGATCAACCAGTCGGCGACTATTACGGTCCCCTTGTTGTTGTTTCTGTGATTGCCGCACTGGCGATAATGTCGACGCTTGCCCTGCTGTTGATCATAACCCGGAGGCGAGTGCATCAGACGGCTTCGATAACACCGCCGCGGAAGAGCGATGCGGCCTACGACAATCCATCGTACAAAGTGGAGATACAGCAGGAGACAATGAGTAAGCGCTGATAATCTGTGATTTCTTCTTATATGTTGCCACAATGAGACTCTCGTACTTGCAGATCTGTAACGGGTCAATCCGATGGGCAATACTCAACGCACCCAAACTAGCTTAAAACAATGTTCTTGTAAATACTTCAAAACTCAAACTCAGTGTCAGTAAAAACGATGAAAAGAATATAATCTTCCATTCCCCGGCGCAGGATTTAAAGGATGTCCACACTAAAAGGCCGCCATGTTGTATGTAGTGATTAAGGATTCTTCTAAATGAACTAAACATTATTTTGTTGTTAAACAATTGTGACTCGTGTATATAGAGAAATAGAAGAGAAAACTGAGACACCAAGAAACCAATTGGCCTCGCCTGGGGCGTGTGAAATGTTAACGTTTGCGCAATTCTTCTAGCGATTTCTAAATGCATAGTTAGTTTAACTTGTAAATTGTAGCTTTACAAATAATTTAAGAACGAACAACAGCAGTTCTTCAAGTAACAGTCCATAAATATTTAAATTAGCTTGTAAACGTACAGAGATATGCAAACCTTATCAATAAATAAAATATTAAAATTATACCGTTCGTTTTTCTTTATCAGGCCACATTATTTTTTTTTTTTTTTTAATTGTTGATTATGGAAATACTTATTATTTCGTTCCATTATCAGCTAATTATGGCTACAATTTTCCCAGTTTAAATGTATTTATCAATTTTATTGTTTTAGTTCTTTATTGTTTGTAGTAAGAGAAATAAAAACATGCAAAAAATTTGCCGAATTTCCGTATTCATTAAGTTTCAAAAATCACATATTCCTTTAACTTTTTTTTTTTTTTTGTAACCAAACCTTTTTTTGGGCCGCATTAACATTGAAATGCTTGATAAAATATTAAGAAAAATATATATATATATCATTTGTTTGGCCATGATTTTTGTGACATTAAACTGGTAACTTTTAGATGACTTTGCCTCATAAGTTTTCGATTACATATTTTACTTCAATTTGCTTGCAGCACCAACAACATATATACTTAAATACGTATGTATATATATATATATATATATATATGTATCTATATATGTATGTGTGTATATACAAAATGCACAACTAGATTTTGGTTTGAAGAATTCAAAATTCAAAAATTTCGTACACTAATGCCACGCTAAATGCTGGGGCTTTTGATTTATGTGTTAAAACAAATAATATTAGAGCAAAAAGGGGGAAAAAAATATATGTATATAAATGTAAATGTATATGCAAATATTCTTTCGCATTTGGCATGAACAATTTCTTTGTGGTTTGCTTTAAAATTCTTGTACACATTAATATTTAAATGGGTTTGTTTTTAGTTTGTGTTAAAAATTTACAGTTTGCGTTGTTTCTTTTTTTGTGTTTTTTTTTTTTTTTTTTTTTTGTATTTGTTTTGTTTTGTTTTCGTTTCTGTATTTTACTTTCGTATCTCGCTTTCGCATTAAAGTAATCACTGTTTAGCCTCCGTTCTTTGACATTAAGTTGGTATTTTGCTGTGTTAGTTGGTTGCTTGGTTGGCTTAGACATGGCAGGAGAGACAACATGGAACTTTGGCAATGTCTACGTCTACTTGGTGCTGGTGCTGGCGCTGGCACTAATGCTGGCGGCAGCCTCGCTGTTGCTGGTGCACTGCTCGATGACGCTGTTGCCCTCAGCGTCGCTGGTTGTGGTTGTTGACGAGTTGCTATCGTGGTCATCATCGTCCACCTCCGATTGCTCCTCTTCGCCATCATCGGCATCTCCTTCGTTGTCTTCGTCAACGGCATACACATCGTTTTCAATCAAACGCAAGTCCATGCTATCGAACGAGTCGGTTATAACGCTATCATCGTCGGTCGTCGTCTCATCTTCTTGGCCGGATGTATCGTTATCCATATCCATATCATCGTCACCATGGTTGCTCTGCTGTTGCGACGGCGACTCGCTGCCGCTGCCCGCATCGATGCGCATCTCCTGCATCAGCTCCTGAATCAGTTCAGTCTCTATTTCGATGACACCTAGATCCAATTGCCGCTTTGTCACATCCATTAGCACATTCTTCACATTGCGCGCCAATAGACGGAGATGCTCATCGCTGCACACCGTCGCGTTGCTTATGTACCGTATATAGTCCTCCAGATAATAGTTGTTGAAACTATCGCGACATGGCTCGCCACTGGCGAACTGCTGGTGGGTCAGCAGCAGCTGACTGATCAGCCAGTTTCGTCCACCCTTCAGTACTTCGATGGCATCCCTAATGCATTGTCGTCCCAATTCGAAGTTTCGATACAACGGATAGGTGATAACGCGGCGCAGAAACGCCACCAGGACATCCCGATAGTTGTCGAATTGCTCAAAGTAGCAGAACAGCGGACACAATATGCTGCGCGTCCAGCCTGATTCACAAGTGGGCTCGTTGTTGGTGGTGCGCACATCGTAGCATATGGCCAGCACAATGCTGATGAGGCCACAGTCTATTTCGTTCTGCACTCGGCGATCGGGTTGGCTGGACTGGAACGAGGCCGTCGCTGTGGACTCTTCAGTGGTGTCTGAGCGGCTGCATAGATTGTGCAACAAATGCGCCTGCTCCTGTGTCATGGACGTTTCGTAGATTTTGGGCTTGTAGCGCAGCGGGTTCTGATGCCCAGCTGGTACCTGCAACTCCACAAAGTTCATTTTGTACTGTTCGCGCGAAAAGCGCTTCATCTCGTCCGCGACACGCTCTAGACGTCGTTGTAGGGGACTGAGCCGATCTGGCTCTGGAACACGGCACGTTGACTTGTCCAGCTGCAATGATTGACAATGGGATTTTCCAACTGCTTTGTATAAGCTAGCAAGAACTTACCTCACTAGTCTGGAGCGGACCATTGTATCGACTGGCGTAGCCATAGCAAAAATTGCTGGTCATCTTGTAGGTGCGCTCGTGGGCATCAAGCTGCAATTGGCACTGTTCGGTGATGCGCTTCAGTTTCCACTCATGCACCAGCGGCTCCTTGTCCTGCAGGGTATCCGCCAGCGAGGGCAGGTTGAGAAACGCGGCGATATACTCCTTACGCGCTGTCTTTGGTTTCGGTGTCACGGCGCTGCCAGCTGCACTGCCGCTACCCACAATGGCAACGGGCGGAAGGCAGCGCAAATATAGCTGGTAGCAGTTCTCGGTCGTGTCATATTTGACATACAACGTTTTCAGGCCCCTCAAGTCGAAAGTGCGACGGCTATGGAATCTGCGTAGGAGATTGCGATAAACGTTGGGTAAATTACATACACACATATTGATGAGGCATGACTCACTTGTATAGCTTGACATCGGCGTAAAAGTACAAATCGTTGTCGCCAATAAATATGTCGACGTTCCTTATGCGATCCAAATTCACATGTACTGCAGCAACTGTCGCCGTCGCCGCCGCCTCCGCCTCAACAGCCACAGCCCCTCGCTCACAACAGGCCTCCGATTGCTCAGGTGATGGCGTGGACTTTGGTTTTTCTTTGACATGTGGATGTGGTATCACAACGCTGCACGTGTTGCCCACATAGCTGTGTGTAATTTGTCCATTTAACATATTTTAATTTTACAAAGATACTAATGCTTTTCAAGTATAAACAAAAAAGAATTTTAGAGCAGCAAGACTATCGGCGACGGATTGTGGTGGCTGGACGATTGATTGTTTCAAAGTAGCCCTGAATAAAACACCATGCCACAGTTAACCAACACTGTCAATTCAAAGAAACCATGACCAATAGATGGCGCTTTACAGACGGTGGCGCTATTGTAATTATGCCTTTAAAAAGATAATTTTGATTTATACCTATTGTGTTGAACACGTTCTCAAATGAATGAAGTGATTTAATCAGGAAATTAACGAATTTATAAATGTTGTTGATAATATGCTAATGCAGAGTCTATCACTAAGAAAATATCACAAGCATAAATTCCAAATGGCCAAACCCAAAAAAAAAACTTAAATTTACAACTGCTGCCCCAGCAGCAACACAAGTTGCTTTGCATCTCTTGCCATCCCGCTCGCTCCAAGCGGCTTTAATGCTTTCTTCAGACGAAACAACAACAACAACAACAACAACAACAAGAGCTCGTCTCGAGTCGTCAGCGTGATTTGCTTTTTAGTTGTTGTTGCTGTTGTTATTGTGGCTGCTGCTGTATTTTTTGTTTTTGTTTTTTCTTCTTCTACATTTCTGGCTCGTTTCATGCTGACCCACTTTTCGTGGCAATACGTGCGATGTTGACGCCACAGCAGCAACAGCAGCAGCAGCAGCAGCGGCAGCGACTGCGGTCTGCACAGTGGGCTGCAGTCATGGTGAAAGCTTTGCCTTGCTATAAAATAACGCTTGCCGGGTCAGTTTATGCGCACTGGTTACAGTGTGCGGCGCAAAAAGTCATAAACTGAATTGCCAACAGGTTATAGCTGCAACACGGTCGCAGTCGCAGTTGCAGTCGTGGCCGCAGTCGCAGTCGCTGAGAGTAGTAAAAAGGGCCATGACAGTGACACTTTGAAGTTTGAGGTTAAATTGTCAATGTTGTTGTTTTCTGTTGTTGTTGTTGTTGTTGTTGTCTGTTGTCTGTTGTTGTGGTTGCTCTTCGGTTGCCCTGTGCCTAAATATTGTCGACATATTTCGTGGCGGGCACTTTTGTTGTTCGTTGTTGTTGTTGTTGCATTTCAATTCAAAAGACTTAAGCAACAAACTTGCATTGATTGTGCACTTTTCTGAAGCCAATGTGCGTGGCACAAATTTTGATTGGCGCACGCACCGAAATGCTCGCATGCTTTTATTTAGTTTATTAATTATTTTTATTTTTTCTACCTACACTCACACACACACGCACACATTCATATTTGAAAAGTGAAATTTCAAAGTAGAACAAGCAACAACAACAACAACAACAACAACAGCCACAACACGTACAACTGGCCGTGCCACGCAACTTGCCGAGAGGTTCCAATAAAAATGAGGTCACTTGTCGCTGACCAACAGCGCCAGCAGGCGTCTCTCCTACCCAAGACCACTCCCCACCCTCCCCCCTTTGGCACAACATTGTTGACTAGATCCCGCGCCAGAGTTTGCCGTTGCTGTTGTCAGTCGTCTGCCTTTAGAATACTGCATTATAAGTAAATTAATTGCAGTCGCGTCGCACTTTTCGGCTTTAACTGTTGTTGGCCAGTTTTAGGCCAAGCAACGTGTGTGCCATTAAGAAGCACCACGAACTTGACAACGAAAAGGAGCGCATGGAAATGAATCGCAACACAAGTTGGCCTCAAATCATAAATTGATTAACTATCGCAAATATGCTTTAGATAAGATTTTTCGATTTTTTTTATTTTGTTATAAAATAAACAAAATAAATAGATGTAAATGCAGAAACGTATTTAATTGAATACGTTTTACTGACAAAATAAACAAGAGTTCCGTCCACGAATTGTTTTCATTTTTACTTTTCTTATATGTTGGTTTTTAACTTTATGTATCCGTGTCAAAAGTTCCATAAGTTCATGCTAAACGCGAAAGTTGACTTTGAAATTAGCCCAATTTCGTATTCCCATCAAATTAATCTGATCTTTGTTGGATTCTTTGCTTCCTCTGCGTATAATATTTAAGTCTGTTAATATTTATGTGTACAAATAAATGAAAATATTATCTTATTATTATTATTTATAAATTGTATTATCAAGCTAATCAAGCCATTTATTTTATGTAAATATTAATTCACTCAAAAAAAATCCAGAACTTTTGCTGTGTATTTGTAGCTTTTGCCAAAGCAAAGACTTGACTTGTTTGTACATACATATATTTATTATAGTAAAAATCAAGTCTAATTGCGTATTTCATAAGATTTTCGTTGTGCACTGTTTGCTTTTGCAGTTAATTAAAGTTGAACTCGAAGTTGGAGTTGCAGTTGGAGTAAAAACAAAACTGGCACAGTACTTAAATATTAATTTAATATAATGTAATTATAGCCATGATTTATTCTGCCAAGAATCTTGGTCAGCTGGCCGGCGAGGCGTGAAGACGCCGCATTGCAAAATCGACGCCAAACTTGAAGTTTGTATTTTGGTTTTAATTCTCTTGTGGTTCGACAATTAACCGAAAACCCAAATGAATAAATTATTAATATACTATATCATGATCAGAGCTGCAAATGTTGCAAAAAACTGCACGTTGTAAACATGGCTAATGTGCAGACTTTTCTCACCTGGTCACCTACTCACCTACTCCGCCTACTATACCAACTGCTCCGCCGCCTCCTTCTGACCCATGCTGGCACTTCCTGCACGCGAGCCACTTCCGTTCTGTTTTGCCAGCTCCAACTCAGTGTTGTGCATCCATCAAAGCCAGCTCAATCAAGAGCAAAAGTAATCAAAATAACAACAATAACAACAGCGACGAATCAATGGAAAAAACACAGCAAAACAAACAAACAAATCATGAAAAGTGGAAAAGAGACAAAGCCAAAGGGGGGCATAAAGCAAATACACGCACAGACACAGACACAGGCACAACGATTGACAAGAAAATCATTTAAAAAAATATAACAATAAATAAACACACACACACACACACACACCTGGAGCTAGACATGTGTGTATTAAAATGGCATGCCAGCAAATAGCAAATAGCAGTAAATAGCAACAGAAACAGCAACAACAACAACAACAACAATTTCAACAGCAACATCAAAGCACAAAATAGAAATGGAGAGCAACTTTCACCCAAGGTCATTGTGTCTTTAACTGCGCAGCAGCAGCAACAGCAACAACAGCAACAACAGCAACAGCAGCAGCAACATTCACAACTGCCGGACAATATGCGACAAAGTTAACTGCGGCAGCGGCTGCGCAGCGACTGAGGCGTCGCTGTTGCCATTTTGCCAACTTTATTGTAATGTCTATTTGTCTGTTTTTCTGTCTGCCTGTCTTTCTGTCGGTCTCTGTCTTTATTTATGTCAAAGGCAGAGTTGCAGCCAGGCGAAAGGCGTTGCCCATTTGTTTCTTGATTTTTTGGTAGCCTGCATCCAAGGAAAATGTTTATTGCAGGGTATGCAATGGTTGTGCGGATCCCATTAAGTACAATTATTTTTATAAAAATATGTATATTATCTTTATAACATAATATTAAACATAATTGTTATAATCAAAACATGAAAACCTGCTAATTGTTATTGCATTTATGAGAATCGCATAGTAGGGCCATTTTTTCAAAACTCTTGGATTTTGTTTGCGTTTCATATAGGAGAGCAACAAACATGCATCCAAGCGGCTAACCTTTATGTCCGTTCAAATATGTTTTGTATATTGCAGAAAAAATACAGGGTATTTATCCAGCGATAATCTTAGAGCTTACCTGTTATTGCTGACGTGCAACGCCCTTTGCTGCAACCAGCCACGTGCCCAATATATAAACTCTGACTAGTTGCTTAGTTAAATTTTTATGTGACCAACTTGTTTCTGCTGCTGTTAAAGCGATCGCAGTTCAGTGACTTTTTTTGGTAGTTAAATATAATGGAACTTCAGACATTCCATAATCCAGAAAGGAGCGCCCCTGTCGAGATATTTGCATTGAGCATTTTATGATCAATCTTAGTTATAGGTATAAGAGCTTATTTATTCTTGAATCAATAATATTTGATATCAAAAAAGTCTTAGTTAATATTGATGATATTCATGATATTCAATACAAGACTGTAAACAATTGTTTATCGCTCATACGACCTGTTGCACTGCATTTAATATTTACTATTCTTAGCTAACTTTTAACTAAAATCTCATCTGTTTCATATGTTAAGACATGTAACAAAAGAAAGCTGCTTAAACATAAGAACCACAAAGTACGCTACCCTTACAAACAGCTAGCTACCCTGTATTTCGGATCTTCAGGTGCACGAATAACTGATTCGTATATATAAGTTAGCGATTATGTTGGAAGAAAGATGTTAACCACCTCAAGTTATGACTTCTGATCTGCTCTAAATATTCCATCCTAATTGTTTATGGTCGTGGATTTAAGATTGTATTAGTTACACTCTGCCGCGAATGATGAAGAGTATATGGGTCTATCCATTTGTCTGTGCATCCAGTCTAGCTTAATTCATTTGATTCACAACCACGTACTTGTGTCTGCATGGCAGGCGATTAGCTGTTGTGAGGCTCAGTTATGGCACCCACGCCCATAACTGTCCCAAATGAGTTGACTTGGCTGACTTGTCGGATTGTGGCCGTCAGAATCTTGGCCAGAAAGTGGGTCGTGCCTGGCCGAAATGAAGACTGCCTACGACTAAGCCAAAGAGAATGAGAATGCGAATGCGAATGCGAATGAGTAGAAAATTACATTTAATTGGCATAAAACTCAATTAAAAATGCCAAAAAGATGAGAGACAAGCTAAAGATGCTCAGCCAAATGAATTACGGCAAATCTCATTGTTAATTTGTTGTTTGGCTTTGCTGCGGCCCAAAAAGGTTTGCCAGTTTTTATTATTTTTGTTTGACCCCCGACCTGGGGGAGCAGACAAACACGTAGCACATTTTGATTAGAACAAAACGTGGACACTATAAAAGGGGTTGCGTCTCGTGGCGCGAGCAGAGAAGGGGGCGTCTGGAGACAGTGCCATGATGTTGCATAAATTTAAGTGCCACAGATACGAGGCGCAAGATACAGAAACGAGTTACAGATACATGCAACAACGACGGCTACGTTGAAGAAAACTGAAACGAAGCCAAGCTGAGATACAAAAGCAGCATAGAAATGCGGATGCGATGCAAACTACACAACATACTCCAGACTCGTATTGCTGAAGCTATCTCTGTGTCTGCGGCTCGAACCCAAACTCGAGCTCAAGCTCGAGCTGCGGCTCCGACTCGGTCTCCATTCCTATCTCCGTCTCTGCGGTGAAAGAGCATGCGACCGGGCAAAGTATCTTTGTATCTCATTGCCGCTAGCCTCGCCTCGCCGCGCGCCTCTCGCTGCCAGGCCGGTTAACATTTCAAATCCGCTGTGGCTGCCACAGTCGCTGCTGCTGCTGCCTCTGCTGCTGCTGCGGCTGCGGCTGCTTCGTGCGGTTCTCCAGCTCGAGCAAGAAGCGATGGAAAAAAACGAGTCTGGAAATTGGGTCAGTGGCACAGTATGCATGGCATTTTGTTACTGTATTCGTGCCGCTCTCTGTCGCTGTCTGTATCTGTGTGACTGCGTGTGTGTGTGTGTGTGCTTGTATCTGTGTGGGCTTTGGGTTTGCCTTTGGCTCTTAGCTCTGCGCATTGCTTTCTTTGCGGCGGCATTTGTGGTCAATATAATGATTCTGACTTGTTGGCTCGCTTTGGCGCACGGCTCGGGCTTGGGATTGACTTGGTTTGGTTTGGTTTGGTTTGGTTTGCTTTGGTTTGGCTTTTGTTGGCATCGTTGTTTTTGTCGCCGTCTTCAGCTTACCGCATATTTTACCATAGCCAGAGCCGGAGAGCTGGCACTCGCACCTACTCAGTTTTTCTGTTGGCACAGGCTGGCTTCTAAGTCAGGTTCCACCTAATTGCTGGCGGCACATGTGTGTGCGGCATTAGCAATGCGGACACCACACAGTTGCCACCTAATCAACCGAATCACTCAAATCTCTCAAATCACTCGAATCACGTGAATCATCCAATTTAAGTTAATAATTGACTTGCTTTTGGATTACCTTACGTATACTTGATTTGCAAACTATTTGAAGGGAACAAGAGCACACACGACATGTTTTCTGTTTTTTAAATATTATTATTTTTGTACATTTAAAATGACAAAGTTTGTATTTCTAGAAAGGTGAACATTAAAATTAGAAAAATAAATATTTACAATCGAATTGTTTAGAAGTACAAAAAGTGATTTGTTGCTCAACTTGAATAAATAAATTGCACAAAACTAAAATAACATTAAATATTGATTAAATTATTTAAAGTAATTACTTTATTAAATAATATGTGTTTTATTTTTTCCTTTTTTTTTTCTATATCCTTTATGCATAATGAATTTTCGCTTAAATAAATAGCTTCAACAATATTCGTTTGTTTTAATATGTACTAAGGATTTGTATTGATAAATATTTCCAAGATTTTCACACGAACATAAATATATATTTAAAATATTATTTATTGGACATATGCATGCATGTTGAATTCGCGCGTTTAATTTATTGTAAGATTAACATAAACTTTAGCAACAAATTTTTAAAAAACAAATTAACAACTTTTAATGTAAGTGTAATAAGATTTATTACTTGAGTACTTTACTATTTCATAAATATTTTTTATCATCATCATTATTATTATTATTTTGTATTTAATTTGCTTTGTGTTTGTTGTTTTTTTTTGTTTCCGATTTAAGTTTTTACTTCTAGCTTCTAATTAAAAAATTTAACACATATTGTTATTTTGCCAAGCCCGCTACAACTTATGCTAAGTATATATGATATATAAATATATATATATATATACACAATATATAGTTTTATATAAATGTGTGCGTGTTGTTGTTTTTGTTTGTACATTTAGCTAATATTATTATTTTAATTTATAATTGTATTGCTTGTATTGTTTAACGCTTAGAGTTCCTTTTCAACACAATGAGGTACATAATTTATACAAATTACAGACATACAAATTTCTTATATGCAATTACCTAACGAACATTCGGCTAGACTTTAGCTAAATTCTAGCTACATTTGCATCTCTATTAAATATTTATACGTGTTTACCTGTGCCAGGGCCTTAGGTGCACGAAGCGCGCAGGTTTGCATCAAAACAGAACAACAGTTGCAAAAAGACAATTGGACGCTTCGTTGTTCTTACATTGCTTGTGGTCTCTTTGCCATGGGAAAAGTATATACAATATATGAAGTATATTATTGTCATTTTATGTGCACCAGAAATGTACCGAGCATTCTGCTAAAATACTATTTCTTTACGATTTCAATTTCAATTTCAATTAAAAATGGTATTTTTTTCTAATACAAAGCAAATGTTGTTTGAATGAGGTCTATAATTGACTACTAATTTGCAAATACTTCAAATATATGACTGAAAGCAAAGTAAATATTTTTAAACTGTGGCTGCATTCCCAGATTAATTTCGATCTATAATACTTCATTTATAACTTAAGTAGGCTGTGCTATAATTCATAATAGTTGATTAATGCTTACAGACAATTTACATTCGAATGTTCGTAATCATTCTCAATGGAAATCGATTCTAAGAGTGACCAACTATAAGAAGTAGTTGAACTCGGCGTTGCCAGACATTTTGTTTACCGCCCAGCTAAGTTGGCTGCGCCTCAATAGACTTTCCTTTGCGTTACAATTTATAAGCCAGAGCTAGTTTCTATCTGCTATTAAAATTTAATCATGCAACAGGTATTACTGCCTTTTTCACATTGGGTCAATCCGAACAAGCGCTATCCTGATATCCTTCTAGTTCTAAGAGAATGCTAATGAAATTGTGTGGAGGTAGTAGGTTGATATTAAACACCATCAACAATGCGTATTGAAGAATTTCGATGAAATAACATTTGAATGAATTCAGACCAATTAAACTATTTAGATTTGTCATTTACCATAACCCATCCTCCCATGCCCGACCCCTAACCAAAACGGGTCACTGACTAACTACCAAAGAGCGAAGAGATCAAAAGCAACCAACAACAACGAATATCAAGTGCTATGTGTATGGCATTGCTTCACATCCCTGGTTCTTAGGAGGGGCGATAGCAAACAGTCTGTGGGCTACGTGAGCAGCTCCAGGCTGGCTTTGGTCAAGCAATGCAATACACGAGAAGCTGCCGCACCCAAAGACCCGGCCATGCACATCCAGTCGCCGATTGCTCGGCGCCCGGATTGTGGTGGCCGGGTGGCGTTGGCGGGCACTTTCTCCGGCACAGCACACAGAAGCGCGACAGCAGACGGCGGCTGCAGTGCAGCGGATCCAGCTGCGTGCTCTGTGTGCTCTGTACTCTGCGTGGCTGCGTCAGCGGGCAGAAACAGTAGCTGCTTTTGTTGCTGTTGCTAGTGGCGAGCGGGTTGTGGATGTGGCCGCGGTCAGTCACGCCCAATTCTCTTATGTATCTGTTGATGTTTGAGCAAGTGCGCCTTCTGGCGAAAGGCCTTGGCGCACACGTCGCAGCGGAACGGCTTCTCCCCTGTGTGCGTACGCAGGTGCACCTTGATGTTTGACTTGTTGAGGAAGCCCCGATTGCATATGCTGCACCGATGTACCGGCTTCTCCTTGCCCAGCAGACCGCTCAGATCATTGGCACTGAAGCTGGCCACGCCCGACGGCGACATCGCGCTCAGCTGAGGCGCCCCACTCTCGCCCTGGATCTGCCCCTGGCCGGCCTGTTGCTGCTGCTGCTGCTGTTGCTGGCTAGACTTCTTTTGCGCCCTGGAGCGCTTGGCCTTGGGCGTGCCAGAGGGCGCATTCGTGGTGCTTGTCGTATGCGGATAATTGCTCAGCATGTCCGGACTGCACAGTCCGCCGTCCTTCAGCCCAGCGCCAGACAGGCTGCCGTTGGGCGTCAGCTGGTACGCCGACTGCTGCTGCTGCTGCTGTTGCTGCTGCTGCTGCTGCTGCTGCTGTTGGCTGGAATTGGAATTATTGGTCAAGTAGCGCGGATTGATCATCAGATTGTTGTCCGTGGTGCTGACCACAGAGCCCGGCGGACTGCAGCTGCTGCTGGCCGCCGACAGCTCGTTGCAGTATGAGGTAGAACTGGGCGTCTCGGTCTTTAGCGTGTTGGTTGTCGCTGCCGTCGAGCCCGCGCCTGGTGGTCCATGCTGCAGGCGATTCTGTAGCAGCGGCATATAGCCATGGCTGAGTAGACTCTGCAGCGTGGAGCTGCTCGCATGCACCGGCAGCGGCGAGTGGGGCAGCATGAAGTCGCTAAGCGAATCCTGCTGCGAGACGAGCACCTTGCCCTCCTGCTGTATGCAGTTGCCATCGATCCAGGCGTCCAGATCCATCCAACTGTCGCGCGTATCGTTGCCCTCCTCCTTGTCCAGCTGATTGGGCACCGTGGTGTCCGCTATCGCGGATCCAATGATTGCCGCAATGTCATCAATGCTGTTCATGTCCACGTACTCGGTCAGATCCTTGTAGATGCGCACTCCGCTGCCGTGCAGCGAGTCGGCCACCTGATCGATTGGCGTCAGCGTTGATCCGCTGCTGGCCAGAGAGGAGACACCACCACCACCACCATTATTACCACCTCCGCTACCATTGCCGCCTGTGTGGCCAGTGGCGTTCATAACACAGCTGTCCGCTACGGAGTAGAGCTTAGAATCTAACTGACTATCGGCAAAGAGCTTGACATCGTTCAGGCAGGCGTCCGCATCCGCGCTGAGCACGCTCTCGGGCAGGCCGGTTGAGGATGATACGATATTCTGCTCCTGGGAGGAGCCGCCATTGCCACCACCGCCGCCGCCCGTTCCGCTGCACGTCGTCGCGGCCGTTGTGGACGTGGGATTCGCATTCTGATTGCCGTTGTTCGACTGCTGATGCTGATGCTGGTGCTGCTGCTGGTGGTGTTGGTGTTGCTGATAGGCGCTCTGTATGTAGTTGTTGTTGCTCTCGTCGGGCAGCCGCTGGGCGATCGCATGATAGTGGTGGCCGGAGATGCCGTTGATGGACAGGTGGCCGGTGTAGCCGGTGAAGGGTGGCAGCGGCTTCAGGTCGGACAGTGCATTCAGCGAGGAGCTGTTCAGCAGCAGATTGTCCAGCACATCTAGGGAGTTCTTCTGGTCCGCATCGCTGGGCAGCGAGTCAAGGTCGTGCTCCAGCAGCAGCTTGTGTCCGTCCAGCAGATACTGGTCCTGGCTGCCGGTCTGTGTTGGTCCCCAGCAGGGGCTCATCAGTAGGCTTTCGACTTCTGATTCACTTGGCCCGTTCATGCTGCACAACTTCATTGTCAGTTGACCCAGCCGATGGATAGAAATTTTTGGTTCTTCTTCTTGCGGAAAATATCGAATGGTGCAGCTGTTCTTGCTAAAATACACACAAAAAGAACAAAAATATCATCATTAGACGCAAAAAAATATATTGAAAAGCACATTTGAGGTCATCTCAGCCAGGGCTCAGCCATGCACATAGTCCAGCTACATACATAGATGTCCATTAGAGATCAACAAGGGTAAGTATTAGATTAACAACTAGTTAAATATTCTACTAAGAGGAGCTTTGAGTTATTCTTACTGTGGTGACTTGGAAATGTTAATAGAAATTTGCATATATTTTTAATTATTATTTTACCGGTTCAAAAATTTATTTTAAGAGCTTTAAAGGTAAGTCGTAATAATTTAAAATCCTATTTAAAAATATAAAAATTGTAGTTAGTACGCAATGATATGTACTTTTGTTCCCAAAAAGCGGTGCAAGCAAAAGGAAATGTTCGGAAAAAAAAAAAATAAGGACTTTAAATGAATATATAATAATTGAAGCTTAAGACATTTTGTTTAGCCGGAATATTTCCAAAAATGATTAAGAAGATCAATAACTGTTTTTCAAACATCAATTCACATTTTTAAGTCAAATCTGAGGAATTCATCAATGTCTATGTCAATACACATCGGTTTATACTAAGCGCGGCTTACACGCCGCTTCCGTTAGATTTATAATCCATCTTTCAGTATCGGTGAGATCTACAGGTGCCCCATCAGGCGGCAGCTGCACTTGCTGACAGCTTGCAGCGCCAGCCAAGCAAGTTGATGGCCTCTAAGCTGAGTTTAATACAAATCCCAATACGAATTCTCTAAATACGAATATTAATCGAAGTCCATTTGGGCCGCATGCGGTCTGTCCGAGCTGCATATCAAAACATTTCCACGGCGATTACTCATGGCAAGACGCTGCCAAGAGGCGGAGAGGGGGAATACAAAAAAAAAAAACAACAACAAATCGATAGCCAGAATGGCCAATAATAATTTCCAAACGGTATTTGGGTCACAACATTAATAATCAGTTAAATTAGCATATAAATTGGTAGAAATAAACGCAGCGACAGAGACGCAGCAGAACTTGAGCCCATAGCTACATAGTTGGATTCGGATATATATATATATATATATATGGATAGAGTCCACACTCAGACAAAGATATGAGGGACCGACAATGAAAGTACAACAACAACAACATCAACAACAACAACAAGTAGTATGCGACACAGGTGCAGAGTGACCCCCTCCCGCCTTCATATTCAAATAAGAAACTACAAAATATTCAAGACCAATTGAATAAAAAATCCAATAAAATCAACGAAAGACCCCAAAACAACAACAACAACAACAATTGCTAGTGCGAGTGTAGAATTTGAGTTTGTTAGCTTTTTGGGAGAAGCGAACGGTAAAGCAAATGAGCCAACAAAAATAAAGACTTTTTCTCATTTTTGTGCATAGACAGTTAAGTTGAGTTTTTGAGGCTTGGCCACTTTTATGTATAGCTGTATGTGTGCCTGTATCTCTGTGTGAGTGTGTGTGTGTGTGTGTGTAGAAAGAAGAAAGCATTCAACACCAAATTGGCCAATATACTTACTCGCTCGCAGCTAGACTTGTTTGGCATTGGTCAGCGTGTGAGAGAGTACAGACAATTTCGCTTTCAACAGGTTGTCGTAGCAACATGTTGCTAGCTCAGCCCGAGAAGAGGCGTAAAGAGCAGCAGAAGAAGCAACCGACGGCGACAGCGACGGTGACTGCGACTGCGACTGCGTTAGCGGCAGCGACGTTAGCGTCAGCTAAACATGAGCAGCTAAGCGTGGCAGCAGCAACGGCAAAGGCAGCGGCAGCGGCAGCAGCCAAACTACCGTTACACGAGAGACCTGCTGACATACTTCCGTGTTCGGCAGAGCCGAGACGAAGCTGCCACGAAGCTTCGACCAAAGCTCAAGCGCAGCTTTGCGTGCACTCACACAAAATATAAAATAAAATGGCGGCCAATGCGTCTAGGCTTAATTTGTGATGAGAATAATTCCACCTGACGGTTCGAAATAGCGATTTATCAATTATGCGAATAATGAAAATAATAATAATAAGCAAATAAATAATGCACAATTATTATTTGTAAAATAATAAATAAATTATTGTAGGCCATGGCTTAAAATATTTCAAATTTCAAGCAGTGTTGTAAAATATTGCAAATATGTGTTAATCGCTTTGATTGAACATTTTTCATGTGAATCCTTTATGCTTTAGCTATTGAGTAACTGTTAAACGGATACATAAAATATAAAATAAAACTATAAAAAATAAAAACTACAATTTTTACAGAATTGACCTGTTTTTAGGTGCCATTACTTGCACTATCCCTCTATCTTTGCATGTTATTTATACCCATCCCTATTTTTGTCTTCCTCTTATTTCTGATATTTTTTAGTTGTTTTTTTTGTTTGTTTTTGTCTCGCCTTTGAGTGACGTTTTGGATGCGCCTACAAGATTGGCGTGAAATATTTTATAGACATTCTGATTCTTTTATTGTTTGACTGAGCGTCACTTTTTACACATTTAAGTTTTGTTTGTTTGCTTTTTTATTGTTAAAGTTAAACTTTTATTATTGTTGCTGTGGCTACTCAACATTTTTTTTGTTTTGTTTTGTTTTAATGAGCCACATTGTAACGGTTGTTCGCTGCTCTTTTCGCATTTGAATGGCCCCAACACCTACACACACACACACACACACACACACACACACACACAGAGGCAGAGACTGCGTGGGTGCGCCACACAACAACAACAACAACAACAACAAAAAGCAAACAATGCGCCTCTATTGTAATTTGAGCTTGTAAATGGGATTTTCAGATTATGGTCAGAGAGCTACACATTTGGGCCCCGATTCGGGTCGGGTACGGGCATTGCTGTGGGCATTATAATTACTCTTTCTGAGTGCCTGTTGTAACCTATGTGTGTGTGTGTGTGTGTTGGGCGATTTTAACTGTTGTTTTTTGAATGAATTAGTGCAAATTTTTGACAACCGAGTGATTTTATGACCCTGAGCTGAAAGCCTTTTATGAATAACTCGGTCAGTTTGTGGGCGCACTTGAAATGCCGTTAAGTAATTATAAATCACCTGAGATTGAATTGAAATGATATATATATGAATATATATGCTGAAAGCTCTTAAGTCAGGAGAATATATTAGCAGCGAGTTCAACTTACTCTTCCATTCCGCAGTCAAATTCTTGTTAACGTAGTGAAATGAACTTTTCGACTCGAACAACTACTTATGGCCAGAACAGCAACAGGCCGTCAACAAGAACGCTCCAACAGCTGCTGCAAGAGCTAAGAAATTGAGTTCTTAACTCGACAGCAAAAAAAAAAAAACAAAAACGAGGTCCAAAGAAGTCGACGAGGGCCAAAGTGAGAGACTTCGGCTGGGCATCTTAACGGAAATTGAGTTTAACCTTTGGCGGCAATCAACTTCCGTTTAAATGTTCGAACACGAAGCAGCGGCAAAGGTCAAAACGTTTTTCCACAGCCAAACACCAAACACCAAATGGCCAATACAGAGAGAACTGGCAAATAGTCTGTTTTTTCCTGTGGCTATACGGCCAAAATGAAAAGAAAAATCAGGTCGCGCGCTGGCGTCGGAAAAAGCGAATGAAAAATTATTTGATTGCAAAATTTACAGCCGCAACGATTTCCACTTGGAAAACTGCACGTACAATGCCAGCAACACCTCGAACAACAACAACAACAACAACAACGAGGCAAGGCAAGGCTACCAAGCGGTTTTCCAAGCAACCAACTTTGACCAAGACCGAGAAGCCGAAAAAAGCAGCCGCAGCCTCACAAAACGTGTGGCTGGCATTGAGGTCGCCATCACTCAATGAAGGTTGCCCCAACGCCGACTCTGCCTGTGCCGCTGCCTCCATCCTCAACTGCATCTGCGACTTTATCTTAAGCTGTAAATGTGGATGCAGCAAATTGCTGCGAGTAAGCAACAACAACAACAACTACAACAACGAGGCAAAGGTAGAAAAAATACCGAGAACCGCCAACTGGCAACAATGGGAGACGAAGACGTGCTCGGTTCTTGTTCTGCTGCGCACTTGACAGCACATGTGGCACGTGTGGTGTCTGTGTTGTTGTTGTTGTTGTTGTTCTTGTTGCTGCTGCTGTTGCTGTTGCTGTTGCTACCATCCACACAGACTCCAACTGCGACTGCGCCTGCGACTGGCCAACTAACCGCAACTGCACACAGAACTTCAGCTGATTCCCCAGACTTAGATAGAGGTGTGGGCTCCGGCAGAAACTGGACCAGGTCGTCGTTGTCGTCCAATGGTGGGCGTTGCCGATGGAGCTATGCATAAAAGCCAGATACGGGGGTGTTACATATGAATGATGGCTCAAGGTGTAAATTAAGTTCGTTATGAAATGGTTCAGTTGCGGGAAAAGGGGCTTGCACCCGTTACGAAAACAGATTTTTAATCAAGTCTTGGGGTAAAGGAGTTAATCGAGAAAAATAAAAAAATAAAATGCGTTTGAAGGGTTTATAAAAGACCAAAAATTAAGACATTAATCAATTGCACCCTGTAAGACAATCTGAAAAGATCCGACTTGCAGAAATTAAAATTTAAAATAATTTTAATAATTTAGATCGAAATGTTGCATAAGCGGAGAGCATTTAAGTTAAGAGCTCTAGGAATATGCTAAATGCAAATTTAAACCTATTTATGTGGTTTTATCAATTTCTAGAGATACTTTCCAAAACTGACAGCTTCCTTTTAATACCCTGTAAAAGGTAACTAGCCCCAATATTATTTATATTCGGACTCGTGAAGCTGACAGTCGAATTCTTTGTAGTTACAAATAAGTACAGCTTATCATCTAGTCTAGCATTAATTATTTGAGTTAAGCTCACAATAAGAAAAATATTGAAAATAAACTTTAACTAAAACAAATCATGCGAAAGATATTTTACTACAGAAACAAGGCTTACGCCTCGTTTATGTAAAAATAACTTTCAGTTATAAATTTTATTTTTGAAAACTATAATTTATGTTAATTATTTCAACTTTATTAAAAGAAAGTGCAATATGTTAATTAACTTTAATTTTTCTTCTAAAGGTTTTTATAGCTAAGAGATGAGAATTACTTTCTGAGGAATATCAAAAGCATTTGAAATTAAAGCTTACAGCCTAACGTTAAATTTTTAAACATTCAAAACAATTTTCTCCGTTCGACTGGCAATTGTGTGCTCAAAGCGAGCATCCTTTGTGGTTGCTAATTTTATGATTGGAACAATAAGCCAACAAATATCTAATGCTCGGGCTGCCAGACCTTGCTGGCAAGGTGGGCAGCCAATATGAGTCCGACAACGACAGCGAGATGACAGCCCGGCGATACAGCCAAATGGAAGCGCAGTTAGTTTGCCGGAAAGCTGAGCGCGCAGAGGCTTGGCGCTATTTTTATGGCTGAGGCTGTACAAGAGGCCCACAAAGAGGAGTCAATACCACACCCTGTGTCTGCTTGGCGGTCGGTCTAACCAACCAACTAAACAGCCAAACAACCCAACCGACAACTAACAACAACTATGCAAATTTTTATGTTGTTTAACTATTTTTAGTTGGTTTTTACTTTGTTGTTATTTAAATGACGCCCTCGTGCCGCATGCGTTCGTTTGCCGAAACTTTATATACCCTGTACTTTGTCTAGGCATAGGTCGGGGTATGCTGATAGAAATTAAATTAAAACTTATGTTATTATATCGAGCTATATATTATAAGTAAACTTTGGCACGTAAAACTTTTAATTTTGTTTTAACAAAATCAACTTAAGTTGAGAAACAAATTATTCAGATGACATTTTCTTTGAGTTACAGGGTATGTGGCAGTACATAATCTTATTGCCTGCTTTAAAGCTTAATGTGGTCATCTGAGCCGGCAACAACAACAACAACAACAACAATAAAGACAGCAATCCGGCGTGTCTGGCGAGTTGAATCCCCAAAAACCCTAAAAGTTTGCAGGTCAGCGAACTTTTCAAAAGCGCGCGTCTAAAATTGTTGTTTATTGTTGTTGTTGTTGCTGTTGTTATGATTGTTGTTGTTGTTGTTGTTGCCGCTCAACACATATTATTTGCGTAGTGTTTTGATTTTGCTGCCAAATGTGCAAATTGAACATAAAAGCAGATTCCAAAGCCTCGAACGGGACTATTAGTATAAATATTCTAAGCTAATTTCGAATTATATCACATTGAGCAATAAATTTTAAATTAGTATTTGGCAATGGTAACAGTCATGGGACAGTTATTCGACTGTTGACCTGAATACCTATACGAGTATGTCCACAAAAAGGTGGGCGTCGATTTCAGCTTGATTAAAGCCAAATTCAAACATTAGTTGGAAAATGGAAAAAGCCGTCAGAAGACGCGCGCAAAGACTGAAAATAATTGTCGTCTCTCAGCGGGAGGGGGCCAAGCGCATAAGAAGATATAAAGTAATTATCAAATCTTCAGTTAGTTTCCTTTAGTCAAGCTTCACTGTGAATGAATTGATATGTCACAGCTGCAAAGCTCATCAGATGCAGCTCAAACCACGGCGGCTTTAATTGATTTAATTGTGTGCTCAATAACTGGGCGCACAGGTGCCAAAAAAAAAAAAACAACACTAAAAAGTTCAGTTAATGAGGAGAGAAAAGTAAACCCAAAATCTCGAAATCTCCCCAACACCCGAAATGCAACTTAATGCTCAGTCGAATTCGCTACGCGCGTTGCCGCTGCGGCGCACTCATAAAGTTTTCTCATACTCTTCCATAGGGCAATTTAGTTATGCCATGCATTGTGTAACGCCTAGCAGGAGTCAACTACGAAATCAAAAGTATATAAATCCTTGATCAGGAAAAACCAAGAGAGAGAGAGTGAGAGACTTCTTCTTCTCTTAAAGCTATCGTCTTGAAACGTTGCATGGGTCCTTCTTAGCCAGAATCGACAAGAAAGGGCGGCCTGACTGATGTGTTTGCTTTTCAATACATCTTGACTAATCTTGGCATTTTTTATCATTTACGTAAAATCGTATTAACATCTTTTAGCTATTTTATATAGCTCTATACGAAAATTCGATACCCTTAAATGAATTTGTGTATGGAAAACTTTTCTGCTATAGCATTAGACTACATAAATTATTACTATTATTATTATTTTTTGATTATAATTTACAACTGTTTGTTTATACTTTGCATTTTGCATAAAAGAGTATTCAATCTTCGGCGTGCCATTAACATTGTTGTTGTTGTAGCAGCTGTGCCTATTTGGTGATGAGCGCAATGCGTTCCCAGCTTGACTTTGACGGCGACTCCGGCTTGAAGTTCTCCTCTCTTTTCTGGAGCCGCCGCCTCGCTGAATGAGTAAGCGTAATTTTGCGTCATATAACGGTACAAACAGCCGCTACTGTTGTTGTTGAGGTGTGCGTGTGCGTGTGTGTGTGTGTGTGTTGGCTTTTTTTTTTTTTTTGGCTGCCATTCCGTTGTTGTTGTATTTTAGACCATTTTGGTAGACAAACAAACGGTTTTTTATGATTTATTTTTAGCTTGGCAAAAGCGCTTGGCAACAATCTTAGCTGTAAACGCAAAGAACTTTACTTCCGAGTGCAGTTAAGAGTTTGGGGTTTTGGGTTTTGGGTTTTGGGTCGGGGTCAAGCGGCGCGATCAACTTTAAGAAGCGCCTCGACAGAATTCGCTCTTGGATTGCGCACAAAGATGAACTTGAATTTAATTGAAAACTTCCAAATAACTCGAATCCTTTTGTTGCACTAATTTCAAAATTGTTTGGAAAAGATAGATGGATTAACTAACAAACAAAAAAAGGGTCGATCCACTCTAATTACAGCACTAATTAGCAGGTGCTGTATTTAAGTATCTGATAGATGCGCGGCTACTTGTGAAATTCACAATTGTCTCTCTTATGTAAAGCAGCTCCCAGTTCTCAATTCTCAATTCTCAGTTGTCAGTTGGATTGGCTATGCCCCTCTGCTCCCCTCTCCCACGGGGCCAGTCCTATGTATTGCGTTGTATTTCGTAACAGGTGAGTAATATCGGAAACGAATTCGGTCAATGACTTTTCGCTGATTTGTTTATAAGCCAGGCTTGGGAATGTTCTTATTGGAAGGCCATTGACTTAAGTTATTTGGCTCCTAGAATATTCAGTCACATGTTACTTACTTTTTTTTGTTAAATTGCAGCCTTCAGCTGTTGCGCATCTTGAACTTAGTTTCACAAATTGTTCAGTTGTTTTGTTTTTCTTCTATTTGTTATTATTATTGTTACAATTGTATAATCCTGGTTTGCTTGTAATCCTTTTACGCAGAATATTGCAATCCTTTAAGACAGTTTATGATGTGGTTAAATTTATGGCATACACTCATATCCGATGCGATGTGTCAAAGTGTTTGCATGTTCGACATGGAGATGTCATGATACCTGAATATTAATTATGCGTGCTTAGTGCTAGGTAAGTTAATGCCTTTGGACCAACAAATTAGAATGGTTATTAACAGCTAAAGTTTAATTGGAAAATTATTGTAATATTAGTTTGGAAATTGTTATTCTTAATGGCATGCACACAAAGTTATTAAATAAAAGAACTAATGATACGGACAACAAAATAAAATTGAAATGAAAAGCATAAACATTTTTGTATACTCACAAAAACAATGGGAGGAAGACATAAATATATATATGCATAAAATAATGAACGGGAAGTAGTACGAGTGGGTATATAGTATATATATTTTTAAATCCTTAGATAGCACACAAAAACCCTTGATTTAGGCTTTTAATATATGTATATATATCAATTTATTTCTTTATTTATTTTGCATTTCCCATTTATGTACAATGGACGACTTTTGACTGACGTTAGGACATTTATTTGTGTAATATTTCGCTTTTGGTGTGAAAATATTTACAACAGCGTTCTTGAGGAGTTCGTTTTGATTGTTGTTGTTGACGGGCAGAGTATAGATTTTTTTTTATATGTTGAATATAGATATATATATATATATATATATTTATATCTTTGTTATATTTGTTGGTTTGAATTTTAACTTTTTTGTGTATTTCCTTTGCTTGTTTTGATTAAATGTATTGCACGTTTGCCTGATTGCACTTGCACTTCGTTTTCTATTCTATTTGCTTGTATATATATATAATTATTATTTATTTATTTATCTCTCTATATATATATATGCGTAGACGATTAATTAGATATTCAGACACTATCTGGAGCAATCTGTGGTCTTGCTCTCAACTTTTTGTCAACCATTTTCACAATTTTTGTAACGCATTTTAAACATATTTATCACTGTTGTTATTGTTGCTTTTGTTGTTGCTGTTGTTGTTGTTGTTGCACACTCTATTATTGAACTGGCCACTTATTTTATTGGTTGTTCCAATTTCTGTTGCTTGCTTTTTTTATTATTATGCCACTCTAAATGCGGCGCGCGCGTGTGTGTATGCGTGTATATGTATGGGTTGCACTGTCTATCTGAGAGAGTCCACGTCCACAGCGGCTGTGTAGCTAAAGCCGAAACGGAAGCACACGCGAAACCAACGCGAAAAAACTGCTGCGCGTCAAGAATCGCACAAATCCGAAGACGTCAACGGTAGAAAGCCAACTGTGCGCAGGCGCAACACGAAAAGAAATTTTCGAGCCGCAGCGGCCCAAGAAGTCGCTGTCAACGCTGACTTCGCAGTCGTCAGCAGCATAAGCAGCGATCAAAGAAGTTGCGCTCAACAGGCCGGCCACTGAGCGCGCAGCAGTCCGCAGAGAGCAAGAGCAAGCACGAGAGCAAGCCGCTGCAACATGTTGGGCTGCCAACATGTTTGACCGCAGGTGTTGCTTTTTTTTTGCCGAGGTCGCAGTTACCTTCTGCGCTGGCGATCAAAGTCAGGGCTAAGTTTGTTTATGTTGCGTGCGGCATCTGAGAGAGGTCAAAATGGAGTCTCAGCAATTGATTGCAAATTATTGGTTAATATTATTTAAATTTCAATCAATAGTGCACATTATTTAGAGTTATTTACATAGGGTTGTGCAAATTTTGTAGATAAAAAGTTTGTTAAGTTCTAACTTTGCTGCCATACTTGTTTGATGCTCGCTCTGATGCTCTTTTGCTCTCTGGAGCTCTGTGTCTCTGTCATTTGTAGGCGCCTTCTCTTTTCCACTCAGTGTCTCTCTCTGGCAGCACAACTTGACCTACTTAACAAAAATTTAACATTTTTTCCTGTTATTTCGCCTTGTAAACATGCGAGCAACAATTACAGTTGCCGGCGTCGATATTGTTGCTGCCGCTGCTGCCGCTGCTGCTGTTGTTGAGGGAGCGTCGCTGCGACGCGTCGCTGCATTTGCCATTTTGTTGTTGCATTTCCTCTTTGGCTGCTCATTTCGCACTTGTTGTTGCTTTGCAGGCAGCGTTGATTGCCGCTGCTTGATTGTTGCTGTTGCTTTGTTGCTTGCTTGCTTCGTTTGTTCATTCGTTCGGTATTTGTTTTTGCTTTTTCTTTTTGCTTTTTAGATTTTTCTGTTTATTTCCAGCGCTTTACAGTTAACGGTATCGCTTCGAAAATGAAAGCTCACACACAGACAGAGACGGAGTCAGAGCCAGATACAGATGCAGATACAGATACAGATACTGATACGAAAGACCGCAGACCACAACACCAACTCGCAGGTTGTGAACATTTTTGTTTTTGCCCACGACAGTTATTATTGTTGTGCTTCTTGTTATTGTTATTGTAGTTGTTGTTGCGGTATTAGCATAAGTCCAAGCAGCAGCAGCCGCCTCATCATCCGCTTGGCCTCTTGACCAAATGCAACCGCGTCACTTGGCTTCTTCTTTTCGGCGACTTTTTCCCCTGGCACCACCAGCTTCAGTCTGTCGCAGCCTCCGCTGCGATCATGTTCATGGCTCATGATTTGCTTTTTATTTTTTTTCCTCCGAAATCAGCTTGCAATTTTTTAGTTTGCATATATATTTTATGATTTTACAAGATTTTTACTCATGTTTTTAATATTATTTATTTGTATTTTTTTGTTTTGCGTGAGTCATGCGAACTTTATTTTGTTTTTGTGGATTGTTTAAGTATTTCTTTAAGATTTGTCACCCGGCAGCTATAAAAGTGTTGCAATGAATGGCAAGTTTGTTGCCTAAGTCTTTTGTTTTTGAAGTATGAAAGTAATCTGAAATCCATTGGTATGCATGGTATTATAGTGTATCTCATTTATTTCTAGTTTTAATTTTCAACCAGGTACTTCCCCCACCCCAACCCCTGACTTTTTTGACTACAAAATTGTAGAGGGTCATCTTTACGCTGCAGGCAGACCATTTATCTTATGCATGACAAACTCACCAGTAGGTAAAGCTTGTACTTAAATATTTCTTTACATATTTTAAAAAATATTTTTAAACATAAGAAAGTAAGTAGTCCTTGATAGTCTTAGCCATCCTTCTGAGCTTCAGCTCTTTTTTTCGTGTCAACAGCGGCAAATAGTTGTTTGCCGCCAGAATAGACAGAGCCCGAAGAAAGAGCAACGCAATTGAGCAGAAAATAGAGAGTCAAGCTCATGGGTACGGCATGTAATGAACGTCACACGGCACACACGAAAGCCAAAATACAGTTAGACAAATTCTATGCACGTCAAATGTCAATCTCAGAAACAGTACAAACAGCACGGCAACAACAATGCGCCAGAGGAGGAAGAAGCAGAAAAATAAAAATCAATCTTGGCATTAAACATGGCAGGGCGCAGAGCTTCGGCGCAGCTTTTGAAGAGCGGCATACAAAACTAATTGAACTTGGACAGCGTGACACTTCATCAAAAATGAGAAAAAATAAAGAATGGAGGTGGGAGAACGGAGAATGGTGAGGGCCCCAAAACGCGAACAATATAGGAGAGTGCTGGGCCAGGTCGAGCCGGAGTCAGGCCCATCACTCAAGCTATTTGCTCCAGACAAATAAAACAAGCTATCAAATTAAGGCAAACGCCACGGGAGTAGCACCTGGAATAGGGCCCAACGGTAAAGTTCGAGTGCATTGCCATTAACCACAACCAATATTGACACGGGGGTCAAAGTCAAAGCCAAAGCCAAAGCCACACACATTCGGCCCGAACAAGAATTGTGCATTTGATAGGGCCAACTTACGAAAAATGGGTTAAAGACACACGCGCCCATCCATATATATACTTATATGAGCTAGGCAAAGCTCTGTAGCATCAACTAAGCTGAGGGCCTGGCCGTATCTACTTGACGGAGGAAGTTCGAGAATATCTTTTGGCACCGCAGGCGGCACCTGCTGACCGCAAAAGATTGTAAATTAAGGTGCAAACAATGCGCAGAGGAGAGACGCACACAAACACTTTGTCAGGCTCTCTTTCAATTTTTGCGCCTTTCTATTTGCCGCCGCGGCACCAACTGCAAATGTGACAGAACAGTTGCAAATCGGCTTGGGTGGGTCCAGCCAGGACTATTCTACCTGTGCTGCTCGAATTCTGACATCAATTGAATTGTCTGCCGCCTGTTACCTTCTTTCCTTGTTTGTTTGTTATTTTACGTTGCCAAATTGGCAAAACAATTCTCGCCCAAATTGCGAGTAGCGCTAAGAGGCGACGGTGGCAATATTCTCAGCAGGAGGCGGTTCCAGCTACCAAGCACCCCCTGCTATCACAGTCTCGGTTGTGTTCTCATCACTTTATTTCATTTGAGACGGCAAAAATAACTAAATTGTTGCAGAAAAGTTGTTGTATATACATCGTTTGATTTAAGTAAGCGAGCTACGTCAAGAGGGCCGACTACAAGCTACCACGTATCCATAAATTAAACTTTGTTTTAGGTAAATTTGCTGAATATGTATTCGTTAAAAGCTTTCTCTGCTTAATTTACTGATAATTATGCAACTTTCAAGGCTAAGATATGTCATTTAATGTGTGCATATGCCAAAGCGCAGGACGTTACCTCTTCGAAGAGGTAGGAAGTATCTTAAAAGTACAATGTTCATGTTCTCTGTATATTACTATAACTAGAAGATATGTGCCTGGCGCTCATATACAATATCCTAGATATTGCATTATAACAAGTCACCAGTTCATGTAGATAGAACTTACTTTTTTCTGACTAAGTGACTAAGGGCAAAGACCTATAACTACTTATATAACTATAAGTAGGATACGCCGTATATTTAATACCCTTGCAGTGCTTTGCCCGTATTCAAGAAGCACAGGGAAAAAAGTTAATGCCTATTATGGATATGATATCTAGAAAAACAAAAAGGTTTTCATACAACTTAATTTTCGACCGATTGTTCCTATGGAAGCTATATGAAACTAGTCCGATGTAAATAGGATTAACCAAAAATTTAGGCAACATAGTGAAACTTATAAATGGCGAGTTTGATCAAGATACCTGGAGAAACAACAAAGTTTTCATACACCTACTTTTCTTCTCCTAAACGTTACACATTTCACGACAAAATTAAAATACTCTCTGCAAGGGCATACAAATATTTTTGCAAAATTTAAACAAAGTTGGACCGCGCACGCCCGGGGAATGGACGATAGTAATATGTATAAATAGAAAATTACACCTTATTGAAACGAAGCTTTTTACCATAAGCAATCATATTCAGAGCATTACAAAAATGGCTTTGCTCAAAGCCACGAAATATATGTCAAATATTGCATAAATTTCGCATAATCTAGCATGAACAACAACAACAACAAGAACAAAAACAGGAATGTAACAACAACAACAACAACAACAGGGTAATTTTTGCATGCATAATTTGTTGTATGCTGTGCCAAGGTGCGGGCGTGAGGCCACAAGACAAAAGAATTCAAAGTCGAGGCTGGCAAAGGAAGCAGGGGGACTTATCAAAGCTAATAACACGCAAACAAAAACAGCAACAGCAACAACAACAACAGCAACTACAGACAATAAAAATAGATGGCAGGCATAAAAAAGCAGAACAACAAAACGCACCACAATAAAAATGGTAAATAAATTGCCATGTAGGGGCAGAGCAAGAGCGAGTAATAGGGATAGAAATAGGGTTAGATAGAGATGCGATAGAAAGAGAAACAATAAACAAAAAGAACAATCTACGACAAAGGGAGAAGAAATGGCAGTCGACAGACGACACAACGACGACGACGACGACGAAATATGAATGTAGTGCAAAGCGTAGGCGTTTTATCAGACTATGGAACTCCATGTGGAGACTGACCCGGTGGCTGAGCAGAGGTGCAGATCATGATGGAGCCGAGCCGACTGTTGTAGGTGGGCAACAAGCAGTTAGCAGTGTGTATGCCAAGGCGAGGGCGAGACAAAGGTCAAGCCGAACGCAACTGGCAACTGGCAGCCAGCAACTGGCAGCCGGCAACTGGCAACCGGAAGTGGGTCAACGAAAACCGGATCCGCATCGCAAACACCGAAACGCCAAACGCAAACGCAGCTGTGTGTGGAGAGAGATAACCGACAGCAACAGCAACAGCAACAATGACAACGACAGCGACAACAAAAACAACAGCAACTGCAAAACAAACAATGCAAAAAGCAATTGAGATGCAAATGCAAATTGCATTGCCCACATGTGTGCATGTGTGCATGTGTGTGTGTGTGCGTGTGTAGATGTATGTGCTGCC